TTCATAACTATTAAACTATTTCTCAAGCTTATTCCAATCTCTAAAACTTATATTTGATTCAATAAGATACTGTGGCTCTGAATTTTTTCTATTACCTTGATTTTCATAAACTTCTGAAGGTAAACTTGAGAGATTTTCTGTAGATCTCATAATTTCATTGTCTTTCTCATTATTAACTTGTTCAAAAAAAGTCTTTATATTATTTAGATTAAACATATTAAGAAAATTTTCTATGTTACTAGGCCTAAACATGTTAAAAAAAGTTTCTGGATTGCTAGAACTAAATGTATTACATAAAATTTCTGGATTACTAAAGTTGTATACACTAAAACAATCATCTGTGGTACCAGATTCGGCATTAAGAAAATTCTCTGTATTGCTAAATTCATAAATATTTTCTATATTACCAGCTTCAAATATAAATATCAAATGATCAATTACTAAAAGAAAACAAATTAGATTACAATCCACTTTTAAAACTTCAAAGTTGAACACAAAAAAAAATATATATACCTGTATTACCAAATTCAGGATCAAAAAAATTCTCTATATTACTAGAACTATAAATATTTTTCATATTACTAGGTTCAAACATAACAACAAGTAGGGTATAATCAACTACAAAGAAAAAAGAAAATCAAATATAAGTTTTAGAGATTGGAATAAGCTTGAGAAATAGTTTAATAGTTATGAATTAGAAAATAGATTTGTATTTATGATTACCTATAGTGAAAAGGACAAGGAAGATAAGATTCTCTGATATCATACTTATAAATATACAAATAGTCGACTATATGTATCTCAAAAAAAAACACATATTGTTAAGAATCATGATAGTGATTACCAAACTAATGGCTATAACTTTTGTTAATATATATAAGTACAAAAAAGATAATATAATCTATAACAAAAATTGATGGTTGGCATAATTATGATCTTGTAGGTAATATAAATATAGTAGTATCGTATTATAAAAAGCTTACTCCAGAGATGAATGATAAAGTAAAATTTCTTCAAATTGTGAAGTATATGCTAAAGTGATAATTAAGATTTTACAAAAGAAGTTCTCGAATAAATATGATTATAATATGTATAATTTAATTCAATTAATCTAGTGCAAAAAAAGAGAAATAAATGATGCTAGTTCGTTATACCTTGAGCTTGTGAAAAAATAGCAGATAGATCACACTTTTTATATTGATGCTTAATTTAAAGACAAGAACAATCATCTTACAAGACTTTGCTAGATTAGCCCAAGTCAGCAGCAGCTGTGAGCTCGATTTTACGATATTGTTTTTCTAGATTCAACTGCAAAAACTAACCACTACTCAATAATATTGTGTATTATAATAATTTTGAATAATCATAACTGTTTCCGTCTTGCAGCTACTGCTATTGTTTTTGATGAAACTTATGAATGGTTATTCACAAATATTCTTAAAGCAATTAGTAATCTTGCTCTATATTTGCTCTATACAAATACTGATTCTGCAATGATTGTGGTAGCTAACAATTTTTTATCAATAACAAACCACTATTTTTGTTTATTCTATATTTGAAAAAATTTAGAAAAATATTTTCTTGATAAATATCATAAAAAATAGAACAAATTTCTTGCAGATTTTTGCTATATATACAATAGTTATATAGAGTCAATTTTTGAGAAAAGATGGGTTATATTTTTACAAAAATATGCTAATGCTACAAATTATTTGTAGTATTAGCTTTATTATTGCAAAAAAGCTTGGGTACTATGCTTTATATACCATGCATTTAATGCTAGTATACAAAGCATACAGCATGTAAAATCTTATAATGCTAAAATCAAAAATTATGTAAATAGATTATCATCCGTCTTAAAGCTTGAACAATATATTGAAAAATTGTTAAAGAAGGAAAGTTAGTTTGTACATTTTAATAAGACTATTGGTTAACTTCCAATTAATAGAGAGAAACAATATTACAATAAATATTTTAGTACAATTGGTACATCATGTTAGTATTTTCTAATGCTAGTAGTTTTAAAGCTTCAACAAAATAAAATTAATCATAGTATATATTGCCAATATTATATAGTTAATCTTAAGGATGAGCTTGAACAACAGGTGAGAGATAATAATTTGGTATTTTTTTTTTTTTTAGTATTTTGTTAGTAATGATTATTGGAAAATTGAAATAAAATAATCAAGAATACTAATAAAGAAATTTTTTCTGAAGATATGTTTGATATATATGTTATTGAACAAAAACAACTAATTGACAATATTGATCAAACAAAGATTTATAAACTTTGATATATTTCTTCAATCGATTCAAAAAGTAATATTTTGTTGTGCTTTATAATAATAATTTGCATCTTTGTACATATTTAATATTAATAAATCATGGCCTTGTATGTTACTATTTTTTTGCAGTAATACTTTTTTAAAAGTCGTAAAATTTCATATTAGGCTTATACCACAATGATAGTACCTAGATGCATTAGTTAAAGATGTCTTAGTATTACTCGAACCAGCAATTGTAGCAGGCTTAAATGACCAGTCAGATGTGTATAAATGTAATTCAGAAGTTGATTTTTCTCATCTAGAACAGATTTGTAGAAAGCATATTTTTAGTAAATCAGTTCATCATAAAATGATATATAGATCTCAATAGGGAAGGAAATTTGGTATGATAAAAAAAATGCTTAACTTGGCAATTATAACAAATAGAATTAAAAAGCTCTACAAAATTCATAAGAATCTTACCAAGAAATGGAGCTTGAACTTATAAAGAAGAATAATCAAATTGAGTATAATGATCTTAAAGAATTTGCCTATACTATAAATAATCATATAAGTATTAGAATAAAAGATCAAAATTTCAAAAGAATTAAAAGATTTAATGATAGTATGAATATATCAAAAGGTAAAAATAAAAAGAAGCAAATTTTTCAAAATGAATATAATAAATCAAATAATAATGATAATACTAATAGCAATCATAATTTAGGTATATTTCTTTAGAGTTGTTATTTGAATTGTATAATTTATTAAAATTTAATAATTTGTGTATAATGTAGAAACTAGTAATTTAAAAAAAAGAAAAAAAGTAAGAAAATATAGAATTTGTAACTCAAAAAGTTATAATGTATATACTTGTCCAAGTTTAGCTAAATTCTATAATTCAGAAGACAGTTTGAAAGACAATTCAGAAGAAAACAATTTAGAAGACAATTCAGAAAAAAATAATTCAGAAAAAACTAACACTAAGTATAAATGTGAGATTTGTAATATGAGAGATTACAATGTATGAACTTGTTCAAATAAATAATATGTTATATATAACTAGAGTTTATATCATATATTTTATGTCAAAAAATATACAATTGAATACTTAAATCATACGAATTACAAATATTTCCTTTGAATTTTATTGTGAGAATTATATTATGGGTTTGAAAATAAAATATAATTATATAAAGAAGATTTTTTTGTTAAGATACAAAAAATAGTTTGGTATTAAAATTGCAAGACCAATTTTTTGAAGTTAGTTATTTAGATTATAAGAAGTACTTCTTATACATATTTTTGAAAAGCAAGAGCTATTTTAAAAACAGGTATTTGAACTTTTCTAACTATATTTGTTAGGTTAATATTCATATACAAGTTAGCTATAGACAATTTGAATTTTATAAATATGTCTAAGTTATTAAATTAGTGAATCAATTGCCTATATAACTTATATATCTTAAATTATTTTTAAGATAAAGTTACCAAGCAAAAAAATCTATTATAAAGTTATTCTAATGTGTGTATTAATTAATAGCACTAATGACCTAGCTCAAATGATGAGTACCAAAATAAACAAAAATGATATCATAGTTATAATTAGGAGTAGACATTGTTACTTTAATGAGTTTGGCTTTTAAAAAAAAAACACTTAGTAGTTTTCTATGCAGATTTTTTTAGTTTTAGTAAAATGAACATTTGTTTTGAAGTTTTCTAATTATACTTTATAATCTTTTATGAATCTGCTGAGATAACTATAAATTTTTTGGGTCATATGATAAGAGGCGAACCAACTTCAAATTTCTTAAATTTGATAAAGATAGAAATAGTATTAGATTAAGAATTTAGTAACTAAAATCTATAGTAAAATTAGTCAAAGGAAATTTGTAATTAAAATGTAAATAGCGATAAGGGGGCATCCATAAATAATATTATGTACCCCACATAGTAACTCTTGACCCCCTAAACTATATAAAAAAAATTAAAAATCTGTATATTTATATATAAATTTTTACAAAATCTTGATTTTCTTGTGACCCAGTAATCCAAATTAGATAAATTTGGTACCATTAGATTCATCTCAATAAGAGGAATCCAATGGTACCAAAATTATGCAATTTGGATCACTGGATCAAAAGATATAAGCAAAAAACTGTTAATTCTATAGTAATTTTATATAAAATAATATAGCTAATGGTTTTTTGCCAATATCTTTTTATTCAGTAATCCAAATTGAATAATTTTGGTACCATTGGATTCCTCTCACTAAGACGAATCCAATGGTACCAAATTCATCCAATTTGGACCACTGGGTCACAAGATATTAATATTTTATAAAAAAATTAGGTTATTTTTCTTTGACCATCCACTAACTTAGCAAAAAACATAAAAAAATGTTATTTTTGTGAAACCCCCTCCCCTCCTTTTGTATAACATTATTTATGGATGCCTCCTAAAGTGGTTTTTTTGAATTTTTCTAATTGTGTTATATTACACTTAATTTGATTTTCTATTAGCTAATTATCATATGATTCAAAACCTCATGGTTATACTAGTAACTTTATTTATATAATTATATGATTTCTAATCTACTTTCTGATACTGGTATTGAATACCAGTAGTGTGATTTAGTAAAACCAATATAAATATAAATATTACTATTAAAATTTTAGTTCTAAGCAAATTATATAAGTTTGCAAGCTATTAAAATAAAACTTTGCAATAAATTCTTTTATATCTTTTTTATTTATTTTTTTTTTCTGTATTAGTAGCCTTACTAGTATCTTTTATTAGATCAAAGCAAATATGCAAGTATATTCTAAACTATCTAAACTATAGATCTAATATTACTCAGCTTCTTCTATAGATGCTCAAGTATGGTCTGCCTTATTAGTTAAAACTATATATATCGACAAAATTATTTTGGGGTCCAAAACCCGAAATTAAAATTTGAAGATAAAATTGTTTTTAACCTATTTTACTTAAAAGATAAAATTTTTTAACATTTTTTTTGAAGAGATGAAATTATAAGGAACATAACTACCTAAATTAGATTTGCTCTTGTATATAAAAAAATTCTAATTTGCTCTAATGGAGACAAAATAGGGTTTTTTTGAAACCCTATTTTGGTGGTATGTATAGTTAAAACTATTGCCTATACCAGAGACTATATCAAGCTAGTTAACAAAACCATAATAAGATGGTTTCAATTTAGAAGAATTTTAACTATACTAAATTGGCAATTTTCTTTTTAATCTATTCTTCTCTTTAAAACAATAATCTAATTTTAATTCTATATTAATAATCAATTCTATATTATCTTTTA